AGTTCCAATCGCGGTATGGAAGCTCCTTTGATTGGGCACAATCGTGTCTTTGCAAAGGTCAAATAGACACGAGCTTCACTGCTATTCGATTCTCGTAAGTACACTGCTGCGGCATATGCTTTTACTGACGCATTGACGAATACATGAAGTTGTTCTTTGCTTCCCGTAAGTTGAATTTGCCGTGGCAGTATAAACCGATGGGTTTCTCAACTGCTCATCAGCCCCTGCCATTTTTCCTCATCTTCCTTCCTCAATATGCTATCCAAATGATGCCCTTTCTTCCACAGTTCTTGAAGAAAGCATTTTAAAGGAATGAGAACGAGCATAATCCAACCAGCTGGATCGTAAATCGATGCTAAAAAATGCAAAATCGTTCTCTTCGTGATGGTCACTTCGGTTGATGCCGCGATCTGCAGTACGATTTGATCCTCTTTGGGTTCCCATGGTACTCCAAGAACTTTGATGACTTCGACATTCGTGTGACTGTCTTTGGGAATCCTTCTGTTGAACTGCTGACTACTGCTGATGAACCCTCGTATGTTCATCTCGGCGCCACGAAACAATTCTTTCGTTTGTCGATACTTTTCGATAGCCTGGTCGGCCGTTTCTACTGTCAGCATCACATTGTACAGATTTTGCAGGATTTCGAATGCTGTTCGAGAACCGTCTTGCTTCAGATGTTTGCGAATTGAAGGTGCCAACAGGAATGGGTTTGATACAATTCCAAACAACACCCGCTTGAACCGAAATTCCTGCAATTTTTCTTCTGTGATGAGTTCATCCTCGTTCTTGATCCAGAGAAATCTGGTACAATTTCTATCTTCTTGATGAAGTCCCACTTGTAGAAAGGCTTTCTCGACATCCACAAGAATCATCATTTTTGCTTGGTGAAATCGGAGCAAGATCCCGCACAAACCGGACAGAACGGATGATCCTTCTAGCAGTTCGTCGTTAACAGATTTCCCTTCGGCCGTCTTTGCTGATGCGTCGAATACGACTCGTAGCTCGGTGGTCGTCTTCATTGGGGTTATCACAGGATGACGTGGGAGATACGTAGTACGACCTTGGATTTGGCCTATGCCAACTTTCTCGATTATGCCCTCGGCTAACTGCTTTTTGAACGTTTGGTCGTACTGCTCGAAAAGCTGTCGACTGTGGCGCAGTCTCGCCACTGCTGATTTGAGTCTAGCCAAACACATGGCGTAATTGGTTTGCAGGCATGGAGATTCTGTCTTCCACCGCCAAGTCACGAAGTCGCATCCCTCACTATCTCTAGTAATGCTATTTTCAAACTGCTCAACTGCTTCTTTTGTAATTTCTATAGGCTTTGTAATGCCTATGGCATCTGATTGCCAAAATCGATTGACTTCTACTTGATCCACTACGGAACTGGTTATGATTGCTGTTTGAGCTTGTACTGTACCCTTACGACTGTAAAGCTGTCCTTTTTCAGCAAGGATCCCTCCTACTTTTGAATCAGTGAGTTGAAAACCTGACCTGAGAATTCTGTGTGTTCCTCTGATAGTAGAAAAATAATAGCCAAGACCCACAACGATTTGAGGCTTCTTCCAAGCCGTTAGTAAGTCGATTCTTTTTAGGTCGATTGCCTGCAATCTGCGCGCTTGCTCGCAGGGGGGGGTTGTCAAAATCCTTTGTGTCGGGAACTTTATTGTGTTCGCTATTATGATTTGGTGCTTCCCATTTTCCAAAATCAAATCGAACTTGACTGTGCAGGACTCGAAAGTTTTGGGTTGCTTTTCAGCGAAGGCTGTGATTGAAATCGATTTCTGTTGAGTCTTTTCAATCCCGAGCTTTTTTGCCGGATCCTCTGCGATGAATGATCGTTGACACCCTGAGAACTGTTGCTTGTGTCTTCT